GAGCACTCACTGGAGAAGACCCTGATGCTGGGAAAGTTTGAAGGTCAAAGAAGACGGGGACGGCAAAGGATGAGATGGTTAGACAGTGTCATAGATGCAACGAACATGAAGTTGAGCAAACTTCAGAGGACGGCGGAGGACTAGAAGACCTGGCGTGATCTGGTCCATGGGGTCGCGAAGAGTCGGACTCGACTGTGCGACTGAACAACAACAACCTTATGGGATATTTAAACAACGCAATTCCGGACGTAACCCTTGTAACGGCATGACTTCCATCGACCTATCCACTGAATCTCACTGCCCGTATACCCCATGCCCGCCGCCGTTGATGTGGCCCCTATCCGAAAAGAGTGAGTTCCAAAGCGAACCCCACCCAATCCTAAGCGGGCTAATGCCTTCTGAGTCAGGCTCCAAAATTGAAATTTAGTGAGGGGAGTGCCATCCCTATGTCGGAATAGGTAACCCTGGCCCTCTCCTCTCAATGCCAAGTAATGGCTCAAAGCCTCAACTGGGTATAACTCAACTTCTGAACATTGGTCGAGCTCTATCACCTTCCCCTTGAGGCGCTGGTCAGTCTTTGACCGTCGTAGCCTAATTCCCACTTTGAAGTCTGAAATAGAAACATCCCATTGTTAAAGAGCTAGGCCTGATACATCTGCCGTGAGCTAGCCACCAGCTCGCTGATCCGCAGTGCCCCAAAAAAGGCAACCAGTGATGCAGTGTGAAACAGGGCAGCCTCATAGCCATCAGCGCACAATGTCTGCCACTGATTCCTAAGCCTTCTCAATATTTCTGGTGTCAAAGGCTCTCTGGTATCAGCTACCCTGCCCTTCTCCCTGGATCAGCCCTTGAGCATCTTCCTGATATAGAAATCACTTGTATTGTCTACATGCCCAGAAGTCTTGCTGGCATAGGCCAGCACAGACAATTTGGCCCTGATGGAATGAGCTGACACGCCTTCACCTCTTAATTTAACACAGAAATACATTAAATGAGGAACAGGTATAGGCCAAACTTGCCGCAGTCCAGCTCCCTCCCTGAAGGACAAGTACTGCTTACCCGCCATCAAATAAGCTCTACGTGTGGAAGGGGCAAGAGCCAGGCTCTTTGCCCTATCGGCTTCAGCCGGCCAATCTGCCACAACTCAGCTGGCATACGCACCGGGAACTGGTTGGCTTCTGGAGCCAACTGACGGAATCTCTGCATCTGTTTTCGAGAGAGAGCGTCAGCGACCTCGTTATTAACTCCCGGCACATGCCTAGCCTTGAACATTATATTATTGTGTAAACACTGCAGAGTAAAGGCCCTAACCAAAGCCATGACCCTGGGGGACTTGGATGTCAAGGAGTTAATTACATGTACTGTGGACATGTTGTCGCACCAGAAGTGGACGGTTTGGTTGGCAAATTCCCACGACCAAATCCATACTGCTGCGACAATCAGAAAAAATTCCAGGAAGGTAAGGTCTTTGACCCACCCTGCCTGAAACCACTCCTCAGGCCAGTCCCCAGCACACCAGTGCCCCCGGAAATATATTCCAAAGCCGGAGGAACCTGCAGCATCAGATGCACCCTGCAGTTCCGCTTCGACTAGAAGGTCCTCATGCCAAAAGGACACCCTGTTGTATGAACCTTAAAATTGCTTCCATACAAGGAGGTCGTCCCGTATCCCCTTGGTGACCCTAGTCCTATGATGGGGGAGATGTAGACCCCTCATAGACTCACAAAGTCTCCTAACAAAGGCCCTGCCGGGTGCCACAACTTTGCATGCAAAGTTGAGGTGACCAACCAACTGCTGCAACTCCAGCAAGGTTATTTTGTTCTTTTTCCTAGCTGTGTCTATTAATGTCTGCAGTGCAGTTAATTTATCCACAGGCAATCTGCAGAACTGCCCCACTGTGACAATTTCTATTCCCAGGAAAGTCAAAATAGGGGATGGGCCTATTTTCTGTTTTTTCTGAGCCAGAGGAACTCCCAGCTCCCTTGCCAGATTGATAAAGCTGGACAGCAAAAAGGCACATTGACCCGTACCCCTCTTTCCTGCCAATAAAAAATCATCAAGGTAATGAGCAGTACTGCTGAGACCCGTCCTGTACCGGAAGGCCCATTCCAGAAAGGAACTGAACCTCTCAAAAGCAGCACAGGATACTGAGCAACCCATAGGAAGGGCCCTATCCATGTAGCATTTGCCCTCAAATGCAAATCCCAGGAGCTCGAAGTCGGCTGGGTGGACAGGAAGGAGGTGGAAGGCTGCCCTAATGTCACATCTTGCCAATTCCACTCCCTGTCCACAGCTGCGCACCACCCGCAGGGCTTGTTCAAAGGACGTGTACCTAACAGAATGTAACTCCTCTGGTATCGCATCATTCACCGACTCACCACGTGGGTAGGACAGGTGGTGAATGAGATGATATTTGCCAGGTGCCTTCTTCGGCACAACTCCCAATGGGGAAACCCTCAAATTATCAACTGGGGGGGGAAGGAAAAGGACCAAGAACTACCCTCCATACATTCTTTGGCAATTTTTTGCCTAACGATTTGCTCCATACCCCGAACTGATTTCAAGTTAGGAGCCATGTCTACAGCCTTGGAAAGGTATCCTAACCCCCAACATAAAACCCTCAAGGAGGTAAACCCGATCACTGTGGTTCAGGTAATCCCACAACCACTGTTCCAGAACTTGTAACTTAATTGGGCTAGGTCCCTTTATCAGTAGGGAGGTTGTAGCCCCACCTCCTCCAGGATGCTTCCCACCTCTACCTCCCCCCCACCCTTTCATTTTAGGGCAGTTGGGTAAAGCGTGGGGCCCTGCACACAATGGACACTCATGTTGGAAGGAACAAGACTTCTGACCACATGTCCCTTGGGAGGTAAACTCCCAGCAAAGCGGGCGTCGCTGAACCATCTGCCTCGCCTGAAGAATTGTACCATTAACCGGGTCCTCATCCTCTTCGTCAGATGGGACCACCGGCACAGGCTGCACTGGGGGCCGCTTGAAGGCTGGCTGCTTCCCTTTTGCCTTTCCCTGGCCTTTCCTAGCCACCATCACAGGTATTAAACGTGGATTTGTACTGTACTGTGACCCAGAGTAATTAAGCCTCAACTGCAGCCTCTAACTAAAATGGCCACTGAGCCTGTGTTTAAAATGGCCGCTTAGCAATGTCTATTCAAAATGGCTACCCTGAATTAAACCCCCTTCCCAACTGACTAACTCCTGAATCCCCACTCAAGATGGCCACCTCCACTCACCCACTTAAATGGCCACTAAATCAAAGAAGTGGAGAAAATGGCCACCCTCAACTGCCAAATTATTAAAATTGGCACCCAAGGAATCAAGGGGGGGGACTGGAAAAAAAAAGAATCCTTTTAAATTGTCAGCCACCCCAATGGGCAATAAAACAAGATCACTTGGGGGGGATAGATTAAAGGGAAAGGCGGGAACTGGGCCCCCAGCAGCCTCACCAAACTGCCACCACTAACTCAATCCTTGGCGTGTTGTGTGTGTGTGGTTTTTGTTTTGTTTTTTCAACAAAGAGGTGCCGCGGCAAGCCATTTGCCGCCACGAGCTGCCTCAGCACGTTGGTCCAGGACTGTGGCCGCAGTCACGCCGCCCCACAGGCCCAAGGACCTGCTGCTGCCGCCGGAGATTGCTGCTGCGATCTACCGCCCCCGTACAATGGCCACGCCGCTCCACAAGCCAGGGACCTGCTGCTGCCTCAAAGTCACCGCCCTGATGAAGCGCCACCGCAACAGGCCACTGCCGCCACCAGCAACTGCTGCTGAGGGAACCCCCACACACACCAAGCTGGCGAGCGGGTGAAAAAGACTCTGACACCACTTCAAGCGGGTTGAAATCAGCCTGCTAGCACCTCCCTCCAACAGCCGGTTCCTCTGCCATCTCTTCCCGCTTGGGCCAGCAATTGTGCCGCAGGAGGAGGCAATCAGAAGGCTGGCCTCAGGAGTTCAACTCTGCGTGCTCTTCACCAGACAAGCACGCGGAGCAACTGACAAAGGCTGGGAGCGGAGCCTGGCCCTTTGAATCGTCCGGCTCCGCCCCCTGCTGCACCAGGACGCATAGCGTCCTTGCCAATGCTGTCTCCCTTCCTCGGAGCAGCAAAAGAGCCCCCGCCCACCAGCTGCGTTGCCGGGTGGGCGGGAGCTTCGAAATGTCTGGTCAGCTGTGATGGGCACGAACCCCACTTATTCTTGTGTATGCACACTGTCTCCTCCCTGTGTGAAAAGGGCTTCCTGGTTTGTGGAGCCTTGAATTAACCTCCAGTTTGTTGTGATGTACATATACTAATTTGTTTCAGACACAGTATTCTAGACTGGGATTAAACCATGTGATTTTTGTGGTACCTAGAAGTGGATCAGAATGTAATATATAAACCACCATGAATAAATGTTTAATTTTTTGCTAAGCAATAACACAGTATAGATGATAGGTTCAGGTGGGTAGCTGTGTTGGTCTGAAGGAGTAGAACAAAGTTTGAGTCCAATAGCACCTTTGTTGGTCTTAAAGGTGCCACTGGACTCAAACTTTGTTCTACATTATAGGTGAAATAAACAGGGATAGGTAACTAGAACTCCAAAGAGGCCTGGTACTGTCCTAACAGTTGCCTTTATGTTCCTGATTCCAAGACCCACTGTTATGCATCTCACCCTTTTTCTTCCAAGCTGTGGCACCGTCAAAGAAATCTTTTGCCCTCTTTTAACCCCTGCAGTATGAAAAAAGAGAACTTTTGGCAGAGCTGCTTCTTATTATGCACCACTGCTCAGTCCCTTGTACAAGCAATACACAGAAGTAATCGGGAACAACTCTGATGCTTGCTTGCTTGTTTGAAAATATGGTTGCTATTAAAAACAGCAAGGTGTATATGTCCAAGCTGTCTGAGAATGCATGGAGTCTTGTGTTCGTCAGGTTAATGCATTGCTTTTTCTATTCTTCTGCGTTCTAACTACAAAACACCTTCTCATTGATGCACTTTTTTTCATTTTTAGGGACAGGTACTTTTGGGCGGGTTCATCTGGTGAAAGAAAAAGCAGCCAAATGTTACTTCGCACTGAAAGTAATGAGCATCCCAGATGTCATTCGACTAAAACAAGAACAGCATGTGCACAATGAAAAATCAGTCTTAAAAGAATTGAATCATCCATTTCTGATCAGACTGTAAGCCTTTTTTCCTTTTCTGTTTTTGTGGAATACTTTCAGTTTTATCTGAATAAATATAGATTTTTTGTGACTGATGTTACTTCTGAGGGCACTGTTTGCATTTGTTTCTTAGTCTGTTTGTTTGTTTTTAAACTATTGCAAACCCCCCCAAAATTAATCCTAGGATCCAAAAGCATCTTTAGTGTAAGAGAAGAGTTAAGCCTCTTACCAATTAGTTCATGTTCCAAAAAAAGCATGAAAAATGAAGTTCATCCATGGTGTTGCTTCTGTGCCCATGTAAGCTGTAAACACATATACTTGCTTATATGCTAAGCTCTGTGCAGTCATACATTGTCCTGGTGTTTCAGTTGACATTGGACTCAGGTAAGGTATCCAGGTTGGAATTCAACAGAGGCAGCTCTTAGACATTGCTGATCCACAAACAAAATTTTGGCGCTACAAAAATATATTTGATTGAGAATTGCTATTTGAAGTTCTGCATAATTTGATCTTTTTTGGGAAACCAAACAAAACCCAAACAAAACATAATCCTCCTAAGGGACAGGGGCAGGACCAAAGCAGACAAATTTTTCAGGTTGTAGCAGAAAACAAAAAATAAGCATTAAAACATTACTAGTGGCATATTGGAAGAAAATGTCGCACTTAAATGTAGGTTTTCTGTACTCTAATATCTCAAACTCTTACATTGTTTAAATTGTTTTGGTTTGAGGTGATATAATCTAGACAGAATGTCCCAGAGAAGCATAACTGAAATCCTTGAAATTCTTCTTCAATGCTGTTTGCTTAATTCTCATTTAAATCTATCATTTTGTTCTAATGTTATCAATATCTATAGTTCTCAACATGGCCAAATCTGTGGATACCTAAATCCAGAGATTGGAGTCATAAACTGACAAGAAAGATCTTTCTACAAACCGGAAAAGCCCTTAAATTGCAGAAAAATATGAAATCTAAAAATAAAAAATGGGGGGGTTAAACTCCATCAAAATAATAGAAGCAGCACGTGTAGCTTAATGAAACAAATGCCCTCAGTCGCCATTGCTAGGCAACCACAATAGTATTTCAAGTCTTGGTTTCAGTTAATGAAAGGCGCAGGGGGGCCCATTTCTGGGGCTACTTCGGCCTTTGAGGAGCAAACTCATTTGGGCCAGGCCTGGCAGCAATCACCAGGTGTCTTGCTGCTGTGCAATTTCCATTATTTACCCAGGCCCATTTACTGTTCAACTGCAGCTCATCAACAGCTTCCACATGAAAGCCAGTGCCATGTAGTGGTTAGAGTGTTAGGCTAGGATCAAGAGACCCATGTTCAAACCTCCACTCTGCTGTGAAAGCTCACTGGGTGACCATGGGCCAGTAACACACTCTCATTTGAACTTGCCTCACAGGGGTGTTGTGAGTATAAAATGGAGGATAATGATGTAAGCTGTTTTTGGTTTCCATTTTGGAGAAAGGTGGGGTATAAATGAAGTAAACATATAATAATATATAATAATAACTGATGGGGGCATTTTAAAAGTGGGTACGTGGGAGGGAAGGGAGCAAGGAAGCAGGGAAAGGTTAAGATATGGGGTTTGCTAGGAGGAGGGAAAGATCAAATACTGCAGGGAGGGGATACAGGGAAAAATGAGGTGCCCCCAGGAAGTTCTTGAGTGTTTTATATCACACTACTGGGCCTGTTGGCCTGCCACACAATTGGGCCCTGGTTTTCCCAAGTATGGGCTGCCAGGGGGAGGGAAGCAGGACAGGCTGAGGAAGGGGCAGATAAAGATATGTTGCCTGGTAGGTGGAAAGGAGAGAAGGAAGCAGGAAAAGGAAAAAGGCCATGAGGACTTTCAGAGAATGGAAAGTGGAAATAGTGGGAGATAAGAAAACGAGTTGCCCCCTGTAAGAAGTCCTTGGGGATCCATGCTTGTAGTCTTTATTTATCTCCACTATTGCTATAAATGCATCATCACTTTGTTTATATTTTTTGGAAAAATGAGAGGCACAGTTTGGTAACTATGAGAAATCTTAATTTGAGGTTTGTGTATCTCTGTTTTGTGTGTTGAACAGAGCAGTCTTTTATGGAAGAGTTCATGATAGCTTTTTATTATCAAGAGACACCTTTAATAATATTTGCTGTAGTACTTGCTGGTGAGCAAATTGAGGAGGATCCAGCCACTGCTCAGCAGTGTTTGAAGCCTTCCTCCAGCAGAGGAATCCATCCTCCAATGGAAGTGTTCATTACTTTTTAATAGCCATTTATGCCTATTCCTGAGATTGAAACTGCATGAAAATCTGTTCCTATGTGTGCTTTACTGTTGCTGTGAGTGTCTTTGTGGTAGAGTAGTGCACACTCCCGGAAATGTGAAATGCCTGACAAGTTAAAATAGAGTGGGTGTGAGTACAGATGCAAGAATGATTTCAACATAATAAGATTGCATACTGATATGGTGAAGGGGAAGTAGTGAGCAAGAAAAAAACAGTCATACTAAGGGAAAAAAAACCCCTTTCTATCTGATTGTAAAACACAGTCTTCTTCCTAATCAGTGTGAAGACAACATTAGTAGAACAAATATATATGCTGTATGTATAAGTAGTCCATTAATCTCTTAGCTAGTTTTTTCGTAGGAACTTGCTTTTAGAATGAAAGGGTGAGATTGTTCTTCAGTGGTGTGGTGGCAAAGCAGAAGGTAGATACAAAGTAGTATTGGAACTGCAAGATAACTCACTAGATTTGTAGGTACAGACAAGACTTAAAAAAAAAAATAAAAGCAGCCATTGCTGTTTTGAATTCAGATTGTGACCATGTCACTGGGTTTGAAGGTTCCTCTGTGTTGTTTTCTTAGTGCATACTGCCTCCAGAGTTTTATTTGCTTCGAGAAGAAAGTGCATGTGTTTCATAGAGGATCAAGCATGCAGGACACAGAGTTAAACTTCTTTCCTTCCCAGACCTATAAAACTGGAGTCAGGTGGCACCCTAAATGCTAACAAAGTATTTCAGCATAAACGTTTGTGAGTCCAGCCTCACTTCTTCATATGCATAGGAGTGAATAATCTTATGGAGACCTTTATAACTAAAATCACGGGGGGGGGGGTATCAGAGAGAGACATGCTGTATATCATTCAGATAAGAGAGTCTGTGTAAAGGGCTGAAGTGATGTGGTTGTGACACATAATAATAAGAGAGGTCAGAGGTTCCAGCCTCTTGTGATACAGGTGCAGAAAGAGCTAATCAAAATCCATTGTGGGTGATAACCATTTTAACGGTAAAAGAAGGGCAACATACGGTCTAATCAAGGAAGGTGTACTATGAAACTTAAAATAATTAACTAAGATCTTCAAAGGATGGTGTGTTGTGTCCCAAACCTCTGAAGGATTACAACATGTGCTGTGTCCAGTATCTAACCTGGAGAATGCCTTCACTGTTTTTAACTGTAAAAAACCACAAACTTGTAAGGCGATATCATGGATCTCCTTGCAACTTATCTAGCTTAGCCCTTGTTTTATGAGTTGAAAGCTATCTATATTTGAGTTGTATCTAGAGCAGTGATACTCAGCGGCTTGGGAATCACATGTGGCTCTTTGACATGCCACCTATAGCTCTTCTGAGCACCATTCCCCAATGTGGCACCTCACTATGATTCAGGCAACGCCCTTGACTGGTTGGGACTGTGGTTGGCTGCTTTTAGAGGAACAGAAAAGCTGTGAGCCTCTCTAATGTACAGGTCTCATGTCAGGGAAGGAAGTAAAAGTGACCGTTTGGGCTTGATTTTAACTGTGAATGTCCATCTCCACAACCTGTGAAGTGAGTATCACTGATCTAGAGTCAAAAGTAGCTTTTTAAGAAAGATATTCCCCTTTCAGAAAACTGAGAGAAGCTCTCGTATACTTTATTGAAGGTTCTGTTTTACACTCTGCTTTATTTTCTTGTTGTCAGTGCAGGTTTTAAACCACAAAACACTTCTTAGACAATTGGATCCATGGTACATAATTATCGGGTAGGATGCCCTCTCCAGGAAGTGTTGTTATAATATGGTGCAAATGAATATTTACTCACATTTCCTCTGTGGAATATCAGATTTATCAAGAGTAAATAACCTCAAATGATCCCTAATGATAGGGATAGACATTGCCTCCAGGCTGTAAAGAGATTGTTCTCTTCCATGAAGAACTTGCTAACATACAGAACAAGCAAATCCGTAAAGACTATGAATAACATTTGACTAGCTATAATCTACAATGAAGATATTTAATGTTGTTTGGGCATTATAGATCTTGCAGTACTACAAAATTTGAACTAGCTCAATCGCATCCTACATTCTGAAATTTCATGAAATTGAAATTCTACAGGTGCAGTATCCCATTTCCCAGACAGCAGTCCTTGACACTTCCAACAAAACACTCAGAAAACAGCATATTGGAAATGTTTAGATGTCTCCCCATCTCTAAGAGAGGGAGGAGTGTTTGTGTGATTTTGACTTCCTTTGCTGTTTATCGGTCAGGGAGCTACAGCAGTTTTCCCACTGGACTATGCCCTACTCAGCAGCCATGTGTACTGGTTTGTTCTTATTTCTGCTTTTCTCTGGATTTTCATATGAATTGCCAAGTTGTGCAGGCCCAGACGACTGTCCCATTGTTCTTCTAGCTGATATCTGCCTTGACTAGCCTAATTCACCAAGTCGTCATGCACGGGTGTTTGCACTGATTCTCATGCTCCATTTGCTTTGGTTGTCTGGAGTTCCTCTTTATAGCTTTGATATTTCTGTCATTCAGCCACCTAATGAACAAACCGTGGTGTAGTGCTCTGGTCATCATAAGTGGGAAAATTATTCTGAGTGATGGTTAGGTGTGTGAACAGAAATTATGCTACCTATTCAGTCTGAGTACTGCAAATTTTGCTGCATGTTGACCAGATCTGTAAATAAATGCTCAGATCATTTATGATTTGCTAATAAACTGTTTATCTTTTATTACAGATTTTGGACTCACCATGATGAACGCTTTCTATATATGTTGATGGAATATGTACCTGGAGGAGAACTGTTTAGTTATCTGCGCAACATGGGACGCTTCAATAACAGCACTGGACTGTTTTATTCTGCAGAGATTATTTGTGCAATAGAATATATCCACTCAAAAGAAATTGTTTACAGAGACTTAAAGCCTGAAAATATTTTATTAGACAAAGAGGGGCATATCAAGCTTACAGACTTTGGATTTGCTAAAAAACTGGTTGATAGGTAAGATACAGGTATTTACTTTTGGTGGGGAAGGACATAAGGTGAAACTGTATTGAACTGGTGGTGTTAGCCATGAAATTGGTTCTGACAGTTTTAACCTACTTATTAACTGGTTATAGTTATACATCTTGTAAACTCTGGAAGATGTATTCAGAGGACTTTGAAAGAGACTCAACTACAATAGGAAAACTTTTCAAAAGAAGACCATTCTTTATAGAGTTGAAAATATTCTCTATTATTTTCAGTCAGATTGAAGACATCCAGGTATATACGGGTAAGTATGCTAATAAACTTTCCTAGTTTATTATATCCTTAATCTGGGGAAATTTCATATATGAAAAAAGTTACTGCTATCATGGCCCCGCATATTCTGAAACCAGCTGAGAGAATCCTGCTGTAGCCGTGCATCGGAGAAGTCAAAGTAACTTCTTGGTGCCAGCCTTTGTAGAGGAGCATTAAGTCAATGCAGAGTATATATCTGGTGTATAATCATTCCTGTGTTCAGTCCCTGACATCTCCAGTGATCAGCTCTCTAAGCTGGCCGCATTCGGAAGGATCTCTACCTGAGATCCTCTAGGAATTTTGGTGAATATTGGTAAATATGTACTGGATCAGGAGGACAGCTGGCTTGATTCTGCATAATACACTTCATTATATCCAAGTGAAAATATATTGATACTTAGCTGCCATTTTCTGGTATACTGAAGGATATTGGTATAAACTAGCATCTTCACTTTGGAAAAAAAAAGCTGTAATTGCCTGAAATGCATTTGTGTTACAGAATTAGGATATATTGTAGACTTGTTAGCATGACCCAGTAATGATGGCATAATTTCAAAGATGGGGAAAAAACCTGAAATACACACACATATATATACACACACACACACAAGTGTTTTTACTGTGTTCTTGAGAAAAAACACTGCTTTTTACAAAATGAATATCTCTGTGTGTGTTTGTGCCTCTGCATTCATATGTGTGCCATATAGATTAAATGCATATAAATCCTTCTTGTAAGAAAGGTTCAATATATCTTTACACATGAGCAGTTGTCCACAGCATACTTGTCACCTCACCGCTGGTGAATGCATTTTTCTTTTTTATTCCGGCAAAAGCCTTCTCAGGAGCTGTCCCTGACCCCATGCTGTGTTCAGAGAGATCTGGAAACCAGCAAGATGTACTACCAATTTCTGAGCCTCTCAGACTCCAGTCCAACTGTTTCATTAGTTATTTAGAAAACATCTTGTCTGTTTTTCCAGAGACCTTTTGGGGGATGCTTACATAGTAAAAACAATACAGTAAAATCAGTACCTGTTTTACAGCTAGGGAGGATGGGTTGGTCTTACTCAGTAGTTATGATCATCCCATTGAGAGAGGCAGATTGCTGGTAATCACAATTTTTGACTATCAGGACTACAAAAAATTGTGATCTATCCAGATTGTATCTTCTACTGTCCCTACAGTTGAAAAATACTAAGTGAGTAATATGATTTGTTTAATAAAATTAGCTTATCTTGCTAAAGTTGCCGTCTCTCCAAAGATATACATTTTTCAGACTGGTCTCCTGTGTGCATTGTGTTTGTATCTATGAAGTTGCCCTTGCTGTTGCGGAGTCTATTAACGTTTTTAATTAAATTATGACTTCTGTACAGAAATTAATTCCACAGTCTTATTTGAAAACCTGTATTTGAGCTTTTTAATTATCACTAGCAAAAGAAATGCTAATCTCTTTCTTAATAAAAATGCATTACTGGTGGTTGTAAGTCTTAACTCAGAAACGATGACAAAATTATGATGAAAGGATGAAATCAGGTTTGTGTTTACCTTCACTGAACATAGCACAAACGTATTTGTTGTGTAAGTAGTCGATTTTTCTGAGAACTCAGTGAATTTCAAAAACTGGTGATGATCTCTTGTGTGTCATACCAGTAAGGTGAAACATCTTCATTACATGCAGTGTGTGTGTGTGTATGCACAGAGAGAGTGCCATCAAGTCACCAATGATATATGATGAACTCATAGGATTTTCAAGGCAAGAGATGTTCACAGGTGGTTTTGCCATTGCCTGCTTCTGTTGCAACCCTAGACTTCCTTAGTGGTCTCCCATCCAAGTACTAACCAGGGCTAACCCCACTTAGCTTCTGAGATCTGATGAGATTTGAATAGTCTAGGGAATTATGGGATTTCCCTACAAGAAGCTTAGTAATAACTGGTACTCCTCCTCAAAACAGTGTGTCTACCATTACCGGTCTTATCCTGTAATGTTCAGTGGAAAGCTTGAAAATATTACCATTATCTATGGAGGGTCTTGACTGATTTATATTAAAATTAAGTGAAGACTTTTAAACTCAGAACATTAGTGTTCTCTCCCCCCCCCCCCCCCCTGCATGGAGTCTTGGAAGCAAAAATTCTACTTTTGTCAGCTTACTGGCATTAAAGTTGTGAGCAAGTGATTTGGCTACTACATAAATTAGTCTGTTCTGGAACCATTCTTCCTGAGCTAAGACAAAAATGTGTGAGCTGGAGGTTAAAAAACTGAGCTAGCTCACACTAACTCAGCTTAGAGGGAACACTGCTGTGTGTGTATTTAAATTATGTAAGGAAACTGAGGATTTGACCTGGTTTTGTTTTGTTTTATTTGCTCAGTTGACATTTTAGGGAAGCAAGTGACATGTGTCCATTGCCTTCTTGTTTGGCAGATCGTAGTAGAACAAGACATTTCACACATACTTCCAACTCAGAATTCATAAGGAAGGTAATAAAAAGATTAATGAGATTAATCACAGAAATACTGTTTATTAAACTGACTTTCTGCAATGTAGTTTTCCATCATGATAAAATTGGAGATTTGTTTTAGTACAAGGAAGTATAGAGAAGTAGCAAGTCCACATTTCAGCACAGCACAATAGAAGGAACCAATTGACAGCTAGTATATAAAAATAAAGTACATTTTTATAAGGTTAGGGCATCTGGATTATCTGTCTGAATGCATTCTTGTCCTTTGTGGAATAGCTATTTGAGTAAGGCTATTGACATGGTAGCTCTTGGGCATGCTCCTTCACTTTTTTGTCACTGCATGTTTCTCTGTTTTCCGTGAGAGCTGAAGGGAATGAAACAGTTTACTAGATGACTATAAAGCAGTTGGTGCTTGACTCATGCTGAGAAGGACAGATTGTGGCAATGAGAGAATTTTTGAAGGCTATAAATCCCGCAGTATTAACAGCAACTGAAAGGTCTTTTGTATCTGCTGCTACTATGTCTGAAAAATTCCATGCAACAGAGCTATTGCAGTTTATGGTGGCCTGGCAAATTCAGGCTGTCTTCACCTGTACTGTCATCTGTCCAGTATGATATTTAACCAGCTGCTTTGCAGACAAAATTTATATTTGGTTGTTTTGGAGCTTCTTGTTGGAATATCTGAAGATGGATATATAATCAAAAGAGGGTTCGCAAGTTGACCTTCCTTGCCTTTCCTCATCTTTTTTTTGTACCCAGTAGTGCCATTACCTCTTCTGACTGGGGAAAGTTGGAAGTCCTTGGCTGTGTGCATGAGATACAGCCTCCTGAGATGTAAATAGTGATGTGGAAGAGGTATTAGGCAATACTAATTTGGGACAGGTTTCTTGTGAAGGAGGACTTTCAGCAATGTAACCCTCCCCCTTTGTATTGTCTGCCTTCAGCCATAGGCTCAGACTTATTCCGTTCGAATACATTTCTACTGGTGTCACCCTTTCCGTTAGTAGTTGTCTCTTTCCCAGGATAAGGAAACGGGGATTACAGGGGAAAGGTGTTTTGTAAACTTGGGGAATGGTTTTGGTTGAAAGCTGGGGTAAAACAAATCCACACCCATTTAGGCTGCTTAATCTGAGGCAGGAGAAAATTGTTCTTACTGGGTAGGAAAATCAATGCATACTCTAAAAAGGAGAATGCCAGGTAGCCTCCATTCTGCAACGGTCTGATCATGCTTTAAAAAAATCTCTTCTGGATGGCAGTTTCTCAGTCACCTTATCTTTAGTTTTGCGTTTTGGGATCAAAAATGTTTTGTGGAGTGTTGCTGCATGGATTCAAGCATGCCTCCATATCATGAGGTATATGATGACTGCTGATGACACATGAATTTATATCTCATTTTCATATGATTCATGTCTTTAAGGCTTGGTGCTTTCCAATGTCTGGCCATGATAGTAGGCTGGGTATTGACACGGGTGAAAGAATATCGATTGGGAGGTGTTATCACTTCATGTGGTGGCTTCTGCTACTATAGAATGGGATTTCTTATCACCTGATGATGATAGATCATGAAGAGAACTTTGTGCCAGCATTTATGTCACTGTAGTGTGTGGGGCTGAAGCATTGGCACTGAATGTGTTCCCTGGGTCAGACCCTGAGAGGAGGAGGATTTGCTTCTGTACATCTCAAGGGGAAGAGAAAAGCCACAGATGCTGTAGAATCATGAATATGGGATATAATAAAGTCCTTCGTGAAAAGGCTATCATCACCCAGCAGAGCAGAGGTACATCAGCCTTGAACACCTGGAGATGAAACCTTTTCCAAACAATGGGAACAAATTGGTACCTACACAGTGCTGCCTATGAACTCCATTAGGGTTCCTGCTGCCTTAAAGTTGGGCTAGTCTAGGGATCATCCCCATTTCCTTATGCTGCCTCTCTGCCTCCCTGAGTATAAACTTCAACTACTGCTCCAAGCTGAATCATGGGCTTGATGATCAAGCAGTGCAGCAAAAGTCATGCTCTGCAGAAGAGGGTCTTCCAGATGCCACAGTAAGATCCCAAAGTGCTTTTAAAAAGTTAGTTGATCTCTTGCAGCGAATATCATCTAATCTTGCCTGCACTGATGATTTATAGTTGGTTGGTCTAGTTGGGAGCTGGGCCTAAGTAAGTAAGCTCCATTTTCACTTGAAGTTGTACAAGACCTCAGGCCAGGTTTTTGGTCAAACAAGAGTTCGAGCAATATAGGCCCACAGCCTCACTATTCAAAGC